TGTTTTATCAAAATAACTTCCTGTGTTTCTCATTTTCTTTATCAGGTCTTTGATTACTTAAGAAAACAACCTTCTCCATTAAAAAAGCGAAGGTTTTATATATATACCTATGTTAAAGGGATTGTTTCACAGGACCTACGATCCTATTTAATCATGTATTTTTTTTTTAAGATTTTATTTATTTATTTGACAGACAGAGATCACAAGTAGGCAGAAAGGCAGGCAGAGAGAGAGAGAGGAGGAAGCAGGCTCCCCGTGGAGTAGAGAGCCCGATGTGGGGCTCGATCCCAGGACCATCATGACCTGAGCCGAAGGCAGAGGCTTTAACCCACTGAGCCAGCCAGGCGCCCCTTTAATCATGTATTTTAAAAGCTTTTAATATGTTTGGCAAAATTCCCCAAAATCACATCCTAAATGAAGTCTTTTGGACCTGGAACTTTGATTTGTTCCAGAGGGTCGCTGAAACATCTCAAAAGATTTGTTCTAGCTCCTTATAAAAAAAGAAATGTCAAACTAATTAGGTTTATTTGATATGTCAAATTATATAGAAAACCTTGCTAAATAAGTAATATTTAACCTTCCTGGGTTATATTTGTATGAAGGATGTTATTAATATGTGTTCCAGAAATTGTATAAAATTTCTTAAAATTTGATATAGTCTGGTAGAATGTCATCAGTCATAATCCATTATAATCTTAAAATATGTGTCACAGAAATAACCAAATAGCCTTGTCAACTGCATTAGAAATGAACTGATCAGATCTTTAACCATGGCCATTTTAAGTCTTTTTCATTTATAGACAGTTATTTTTTTGAACTGATGCTTTCATGAAAGCTTTTCCAAGCTGCTATGATCCAAAAATGCTTGTCTTCAAAAAGATTCATGGAAAGAATTCTGGCAAGTACTCTAGAATACAGGTTTCTGACAACTTTAAGATCATACTAGGGAAGAATTTTCAGAATTCCATGGAAAAAACTGACAGATTCATAAAACTACTAACCCATAATCAAGAAAAACAAGAAATTAAATGGGACTGAATAAACTGATGAGAATCATTGTAATTTTTGAGTTTTTGTTTGAAACACTATTGGTTCTTTAACATTTTGTTTAAAAGATTTAAGGAGTGCTTGGGTGGCTCAATTGGTTAAGCATCTCTTTCAGCTCAAGTCGTGATCTCAGGGTCCTGGGATCCAGCCCCAAGTAGGGCTTCCCGTTCCACTGGGAGCTTGCTTCTCCCTCTCCCCCACCCCTATTCATGCTCTCTGTGTCAAATAAATACATAAAATCTTTTTTAAAAAATTAAAAAAAATAAAAGATTTAAGGAAACCTTTTCTCTTAAGCTTTCTATAACTTACAACAATTTGGAAAAGTGTACCTGTATAAACAAAATTAAACATTTGTCTTTTTCTCCTTACCTAATTCCTCCCAGAAACCCTTAGGATGTTTAGTCTCATGGCAATGTGGTTATTTGTATAAGTTCAATATGAATCTGTTCTCCCTGTAACAAGACACAACTTGAAATACTGGCTATACTGCCAAAGTTTTGACTGACATTTCAGTCAAATGTCAGAGAAGGATGGGTATAATATCTGATATGACCAGACAACTTTAAGACTAAGATTGACTATATAGAGCCTATAATACCCCTTCAAAAAAAAAAAAAAGCTCAACTGGTATCTTGCTTTCAGGGTTCTCAGTCTTATCAGGGGGGTAAGGAAGAGGTCAATTCCTGGCAGGCCCAAGAACCTCAGGATCTCCTAGAGACCTCTAGAAGAGAGAAGAGAGGAATTCACCCAAATCTAAAGGTATTGCAGGCAAAGTCTAATGGTGAATCCTTGGCTTGGCATCCTGGCCTTAAGAAGCTTTTAAAAGTCCACTCAGAGATTACTTTTGAAAAGCTGCAGCAAGGCAGACTTCAAAAGAGCCTATATGGCTAATCGCTATTCTTACATAAATAATCAAACCAAGTTTAATGAAACTAGACTGATCTTGCACGCAAATTAGTCATATTGTTTACCTTTGGTAGAAATGGAGATAACTGTAGAGAAATAAAATTATGTTTCAGTAGCCCACTATTGTGGATATTAGATTCTAGTCCAGTTTATTGTCTCTGAGGTTTTGTTATCTACCTATGAACTGGACTGGATCCTGAATTCCTCTATTTTTCTCCACTATCTTGCTATGACTATCCAAACTAACATTTCCAACTTTCTCCCGTCCTTCCGACTTGGAATCACTAAAAACAAAAACTGCCCTTTTGCTAAAGCTGGACAACTGGATACAAGTCGTGATACAAGTGACCCTGGAGGCAAGGATTAATTCTTGTGTGGTGATGTAAACTTATTTCAGATTTTATTAATAATTGTATATTTGAATTTGCCTTTCTGGTCCATGTTTGATCCTAGTAATAAATCTTTGAGGTAGTATAGACAAATTCCTCAAATAACCATAGTAAAATGCAAATTAACAAATATTTAAAGTTATAAATTATTTATAAAAATAAATATTTTATAAATATGTTATAAATATGTTATATTTATATTTTATATTTTGTACTTATATTATTATATTATTATATATTATATAATATATAATGTATTTTATTCATATATGTTTATATTATAAATAATTTATAAAAATAAATTTATAAAAATAAATTAAATAATTAAAATTGTAAAGCTCAGCATACAAAGGAAAAGAATATTTTGGACTAATGGTAGACTTCAGAAAACTTTATAAGAAGGTGTCAACTTCTAATTATATATAAAATAAGTAAGTCCTAGGGGTACAACATGGTGACTATAGTTAATAATACCATATTATATATTTGAAAGTTACTAAGAGAGTAGATCTTAAAAGTTCTTATCAGAAGAAAAAAATGTGTTAACTGTGTGGTGATGAAGACTTAACAAGAGAAGAAAAAAAATGTGTTAACTGTGTGGTGATGAAGACTTAACAAGACTTACTATGGTGATCATTCTACAATATATACAAATATCAAATCATATGCTGTACAACTGAAACTAATATAATGTTATACGTCAATTATATCTTAATAAGAAATGTTTTTAAAAAGAGGTGGTATTGGGGCGCCTGGGTGGCTCAGTGGGTTAAAGCCTCTGCCTTTGGCTCAGGTCATGATCTCAGGGTCCAGCAATCAAGCCCCGTGTAGGGCTCTCTGCTCAGCGGGGAGCCTGCTTCCCCTTCTCTTTCTGCCTGTCTCTCTACCTGTGATCTCTGTCAAATAAATAAATAGAATCTTAAAAAAAAAAAAAAAAGAGGTGGTATGTAAGGCATTAAAGAATAAGTAGAATCAGGGTGCCTGGGTGGCTCAGTCGGTTAAGTGTTTACCTTCAAATACTTAACTCCAGGGATGGAGCCCCACATAGGGCTCCTTGCTCAGAAGGGAGCCTGCTTTTTCCTCTCCCTCTGCTTGCTGCTCCCCATGCTTGTGCACACGGTCTCTCTCTCTCTCTCTCCCTGTCTCTGTCAAATAAATAAATAAAATCTTAATTTAAAAAAAAAAAAAGAACAAGTAGAATCTCAACAAAGATGGTAAGGAAGATCCTTGTAGAAGAAAGGATGCAAGCAAAGACCCAGGCAGTAGGCACACAGCATGTTCAGAAATAACATTTCCAAGTAACTATAGCAGCTTAGCTAAAAAAAAAAAAAAAAAAAAATTATGTGGATAAAGTAATTCAAAAAAATTAAAGGGACATAGTGATCTGATTGGAGCTATGGACAGCTACAATTTTGAAAGGTTTTGAATGCCACCCTAAATAATTTTAAATGTATTTTGGAGCCAATAGAGGTCACTGAGTACTTCTGAGGGAAGAGTGACCAGGGATTGCATAAGCTATCTTTTAAGAAGCAGTATGGAGGGGAGTGACTGGAAGGGGGACAGATTGAGGGAAGCAAGTCCAGTTTGGAAGCCATTGCTATACTGCAAATAAGGGAGAAGCACCACATTTAGCATGGAGACTGCAGGAAGGAAAAAGGGGAGAAGTAAACTGAGACGCTGAAAAAGCAGAATCTATACTTAAGAGGACGTGTTAGGTAGGAAATGTTAGAACCATTAATATAAACTTAACATTCCCTTAAAGGAAACAACCAGAGTTTACCAATGAAAATAAGACCACCAAGTGAGAAACTGTACCAAATTTCATCTTTAACTATCAAAGCTGAATGTTGACTGAAAACCAAAAACTCTGATTCCATTTTCAAAGACTGCATGTAATAGAACATAATAAAAGAGTCAGTCTTACTACTATAAAGTAATGGCATGTAAGCGGTTGGCCAAGCAAGGCCCATTTCAACATTCAGTATCATTCTTTAATTCATTTGAACCAGCGTTCCTGAAAGGTGGTTAGTTGGTTAAATAAATACTATGAAAATCCTCGTTCCCTCAGCACTCAGAACCCTTCCCCCAGCACACGGGCGCGCGCGCACACATCTCCTGATAGGAATCTCACCCAGCTTCGGACACCCCCTGCCTGTGCGCTACTAGCCTTACCAAGGACAGCCCTTCCATCTCTTGAAGTCCCTGCGACTGCAGGGTCCTCGTCTGGTGGATCGGCGCCTACCGCAGGGCTACTCTCGGAGCGGGAGCTCAAGGGACCTTCACGGAAGGAATGACGGCCAGCCGGGCCCACCGGCCACTGGGCTCCACACGCCCCAGGCTCGGAGGCACACAGTGCCCTTTTCATTCGCTTGACACACCCCTTTCCTCGGGCCCTTTCCTCCTCCACCCAACACATTCTGCACGTCGTCCCTCCGAGGTACAACGTGTCACTTCATCCGCTCCCCCCCATGCTTATCTCGACACCGTCCCCTTCACTCGGACGGACTTTCCATCAGGCCCCCGCACACCTTTTCCTCCTCCTCCTCCCGGAGCTGCGCCGCCCGCCCCCACGCCACCGGCAGCCTCTAGCGCTCCGGCGGCCGCTGCAGCAGCCTGCTGCCCTACGCCCGCCTCCCCCCAGGGGCGCCCCATGCTCACCTCCCGCGCAGCTCCACCGGCTGCGCGCACCCCGGGCGGCGACTCAGCTCCGCCCGGCACCCGAGGCTGGCCAGCCCGCTGGGTCCCCCGCGACCCTTGCCGCCCTGGGCCGCCGGCTCCAGCCGCCTTCGCCGCCGCGAGCCTGGTGCGGCCCAGGCGTTTCCGGGTTCCCGCGGTCCCGTCCCCCAAATGCTCCGGCTTCCGCCTCGGCCCGGGCAAACGCGGTTCCCGGCTCGGCTCCGGCGGCCCCAGCTTGGCGCTTGCCAGCTCTGTCCCCAAAGGCGAGGCACCTAGGCGGCTCGGCGGGCAGCCCCCGGTGTAGCCTTCACCGTCGCGTTGCCGCCTGGGGCACTGCCTCCTGCTAGTTATGTCCCGGGTGGAAGAGTCAGATGGAGTGGCTCCCGCCGCGGGCTTCTGCGGGGCTGTCCGGTCGTGCTGGGTGCCAGGGTGTCCGACTGCGAAAAGAAAGGCAAAGTCCTTTGGGGCAAAGGACCCTAAGAGGGAGTGAAGAGGAGGATCCAGGAAACAACCCCAACTAGAAATAGCTGTTACTGTCCCTGAAAACACCAAGATTAGCCCTGGCACAGGCTGCCACCCAGGAGTCCAAAAGAACGCTTCTTGAGTTGGAAATGACCACTTCTCCCATCCTGGCCGAGACCTTGAGTTTGAGGAGAGCCCCTTAATGCTATTAACCAGGGCAGGGGAAGGAACAACCAGCAAGGAAAAGCAAATGGGGCCAGAGGATCTCAGAGTTCTAAGAGACTTAACCCCTTCCTGGCTTCATGGATCCCTTAGGCAACACTAACTTTCGAAGGCCGTCTGATTTCTTTGTTGGAAACCCTCCAACCACCCCAGCCCAGTCTGATGATGGACAAGCTAAAATTATTATTCTAGGTCCAGTTTGATCATCAGATTGCATTTTAAGGTTTTCCCTTTCTTCTTACACAGTGCCGCTGTAAATGAAGCCTACATCTGCTTATATTGCACATGATTAAAATTACCTCCATAGAGACAGAGAGCAGGAAAATAAAATTAAATAACTGTGTTAGAAAAATAACTGGCTTTAAATTTTTTTTTTGTGTTATGACCTTGAGAAAACCCCTGGATGTGGAAATTTATATTAGATCTTAATGTTTGTCCAAATATTTTGGAAACAAAATATGGCTGGTACAAAATAATAATAGCTAGGCACCATTCTAACATATCTATCTATTTTTTTAATTCAAAAATAGTAAGTACTCAGTATATATGTGTGGTTGTAAGGGGAAAGAAAGATAAAATGTTTTAAAAATTAACCAGCAGCAAAAATATACCTTAAGACATGAAAACATTTTTTTAGATTAAAGAAAGGCCTTCAATTCTCTCAGAAAGCTTTAAAATGAGAAAAATGAAAAGTGGAAGCACTTATAATTATAAAACAGTAACATGTGTTTTGACATCTGGGACAGGCATGAAATTGAAAATGATCAAAACTCTATATAAAAAAAAACAACTCTATACAAACAAAAGCAGTGATGAAAATAGTGGGCCAAATAAAAAAGAAAAAAAGAAAGAAAAAATAGAGGGCCAAATATATGAAACTCACAACTGCTGCGAAGTTATGCTCCCTAACACTGATGACCAAAAGAAAGTAATAACTTTCATTAGCCTTATCTAGGTTTACAATTTATACTCATAATACCTACTGCATTGCTTTGAGCTTCCCTGTGTATACCACCCATAGGACATTTTGCTATTTCTCATGCTGTTCACTAAGTGTAGAATATGTTTCTACTGTTTCCACATATATATATATATTTTTTTATAGCAAGCCCATTCCACTTTTAATTCTCTGCTCAGGTATTAACACACACTTGAAGGCTTTTCCAGCCTCCTTCCTCCCAGGGGTCTGATTTCCTTATCTGAGGTCTCAGTGTCTTGAGGCACTCTGATCATACCTAGGTAATTTTACTTCATTGTACTGTGATCTGTTTTCATATCAATTCTTTCTGCCTAACACTTTCCTTGAGATCTGTGCTATCTCATTTATCTCCGGATCTTCAGCATTTAGCACACTGGTGAGCCCATGGTAGAAACTCAATACATATTTCCTAAACTGAACTGTTTTGGAATGATGTCAAAGACAAGCCAGACAGTACAAAAGTTTACCAGGGAAGAATGTGAGCAGAGCCTGAACTGCAAGTCTAGGCACCCAACACCTTCAAAACAGTTAAATCAGTACCCAATATCTAAAACTCTTCCAATAATAACAATTTAATAAGGACTGTCCCTTTGAGTAGTTTGCCTATATCATCTCCTCTAACCTTCAGAACAGCCCTGTAAAGTAGGCATTCGTGTCTCTCTTTTACAGAAAGAGAAACTGAGGCTTAGTGACATTCAGTAACTTACTGAAGTTCCCAGACTTACTGAAAGATAAACTGGGATTCAAATCCCGATTTGTCTGCTTTGAAAGTCCACGCTCACTCTAAAACACTACATTTAGTTGTTATAGAAAGAAAAAGTGGTATAGGAAAAGAATGAGCCAGAATAGTAAAAAGGTGGCAGACAGCAAAAGTGGCAATAGAGTTAAGAAGTGTCAGTGAAGGAACGCCTGGGTGGCTCAGTCTGTTGAGTGTCTGCTGTCAGCTCAGGTCATGATCCTGGAGTCCTGGCATGGAGTCCCATATTGGGCTCCTTGCTCAGTGGGGAGCCTGCTTCCCCTTTTGCTTCTCTCTCTCTCTGACATATATATATATATATGTCATTAAATTTATATATATTTACCTCAAAGAGGTAAATTTACCTCAAATTTACCTCAAAGAGGAGTTGAAGGAGGTCACTTGCATATCATTAATAGCTCAATGGACATGTGATCCGTTTGCTCTGGGATGGATCTCTATATATATATATATATATTTTTTTTTTTTTTAAGTGTCAGTGAAGAACAGAGATGGCCATGAAGGAAGGGAGAAAAACAGCAACCTGGGACAGAGGACTAGCTTTGGCGTCCCTATCATAACAGCTCTGAGAGGCAAAATTTTGGCTACTTAAAGACAGAAAAATTTGAACAACATATGGGCCTGAGGGTAGCCAGTCAAACAGGACTAGGTAACTCAACAGAATTTCATTAGAGTTGCCAAATGAAATACAAGACACTTAGTTAAATTTGAATTTCAAATAAACAATGAATAATTATTTAATATATGCAATATTGGGGATATACTTGTACTAAAATAATCATCAGTCTATCAGAAATTCAAATTTAGGGCACCTGGGTGGCTCAGTGGGTTAAGCCTCTGCCTTCGGCTCAGGTCATGATCTCAGGGTCCTGGGATCAAGCCCCACATCGGGCTCTCTGCTCAGCAGGGAGTCTGCTTCCCCCTCTCTCTCTGCCTGCCTCTCTGCCTACTTGTGATTCCTCTCTGTCAAATAAATAAATCTTAAAAAAAAAAGAAATTCAAATTTAACTGGGTATCCTATATTCTTATTTGTTAAATCTAAGAATCTGATTGAAAGCATGAGTGGTTCCCAGGGGTGCCCCACAGAAATTAAGACCACATCAAATTATATTTGGTGCTGTAGACACTGTAAGCATTATGCACACAAAGTGTCAGTCCCCAGATCAATGTCTTTAGGCAGAGCTAGTAGTTTAGGGACTCTTTTTCTTTATGAGTTTATTTATGTACTTATTTATTTTAAGATTTTATTTATTTATTTGACAGAGAGAGAACACAGGCAGGGTGAGCAGGAGAGGGAGAAGGAGAAGGAGGCTCCCTGTTGGGGATCATGACCTGAGCCAAAGGCAGACACTTAACCAACTGAGTCACCCAGGCAACCCTATTTATTTTTTTTTTTAGTAATTTCTACACCTACCATGGGGCCAAACTCATGAGCCTAAGATCAAGAGTTATGTGCTCTTCCCACTGAGCTAGCGAGGCATCCTGATAAGACTCAGTAGGGAAAAAAGGAAAGGAAAGACAACAAATAAGAAAGAAAGAACAAAGATTATGGTGATATATGTTTCTAATGGGTATCTGTCCAAACAGTTAAAAAACAAAACATTGCAGTGCTTAGAGATAAACCTCAGGTTTCCAGGTGTCACTCATAGTCTGTTCCTATGCTATTATAACTCTTAAAATTATTGAATTGAAATTACAGCTCATGAGTAGGAAAAACTAGTTCATTCTTTTAAGTTGCCAAATTAGTTGAATCTGGCATGCTCTTAGGTCTTCAGGTCAAACAACCTATTTGCAAAGAAAGCTGGAGAGGATAGCCAAATAGCCAAAGGTTATTTACTTGTCCACCATTTACCTCAAAGAGGAGTTGAAGGAGGTCACTTGCATATCATTAATAGCTCAATGGACATGTGATCCGTTTGCTCTGGGATGGATCTCTAGAGTTTAATACTTTATAGAACATCTATCAGGGTGGTTTGAAATGAATTAACTTTCTGTGTCCTCAGTTAGCCAAGAGGGGTTCTCCAGTGGCTTCTGCTTGGCTTTTCCTATTATAATAGACTTAATCTTTGAGTCAGGGTTCAGGGGATGGTTTTATGAAAGTAAGCCCATCTGCCCTACCTATACATTTAAAAACTCGGGAAATTACCCTAGATCGCTGCCCCATGAAGCTTATTGACTCTAGCCAAAGCTTCAGTTATGACCTGACACTCTTAAGTTCCTAACTGGTGGAAAACATAGTGGTCTGGCCATCAAAGAATTGGTTTCATCTCAGAGTCAAGGCCAATTGTAAATAGAAGTTTTGGGGACTTCCCTTTTACGTGGCATAGTTACCTGCCGAAATCACCAGAATCCTTTGTGGAGGAATGGGACAGAGTATGTACTTATACTTGTGCTATTAAAGCTGGTCAGGGGGCGCCTGGGTGGATCAGTGGGTTAAAGCCTCTACCTTCGGCTCAGGTCATGGTCTCAGGGTCCTCCTGGGATCGAGCCCTGCATCAGGCTGCCTGCTCAGCAGGGGCCTGCTTCCCCCTCTCTCTCTCTCCCTGCCTCTATGCCTACTAGTGATCTCTCTCTCTCTGTGTCAAATAAATAAATAAATAAAATCTTTTAAAAAGAAAAAGCTGGTCAGGAGCCTCTTAAGTTTGGAAATGGGTGAGGGGTTGCAAATCTAGTGAAGTTGGGCCTCTACTCAGCAGTCCTTGAGTGCATCGATGATATAGAATTAATATGCAGTTGGATTATGCTGTTCACCAAATTTTGCTGCTCTCTACCTTCAGGGCATGTGATAAGTTGCACTTCCCAGCTCTCTTGTGGTTGTGTGAGACTACATGATTAGTCTGGTCAATCAGT